GTCCCTTGACAATTTTTCCATTCGCTTACGTGGGGCACATCGGTAACGCCTTGACACGGGAGAAGCCTTTGTTGACTCTCCATCTGAAAAACCTGCCAAAACTGTCATCTGCGTACAAGCTGTAATTTCGGAAAATATTGAGTAGCTGTTTGTCCTTCCTAGTGGATCTGGTTAGTGCTTCAGCGTTTAACTGAAGGCTAGGTAGTCCTGCGAGAGGTGGTTAACTTTAGGTAGAAATTGCTTTTGAATAAGTTGACAGCTTTGATAGAATGATACGCTTCATCCGTTTTCAAGTGCGTTTTTTAATATGAGTAATGGGCTTTCGGGAAAAATATAGGAATGAAATATTGAGAAGCGTAAACAAGGCAAACAGCAAACTCCCATTGTATTGTTGTGTTTAGAAACGCCTAATGTGAAATATTGATAACGCTGACTGTCAAAAGCGGCTTCCCCATAAATTCAAATGTTTGTAAGTCTGAATGGCCGCTTACATTATTGTTCATTCTCCTTCGGTAAGGACTAGGCAGGTGCTTTTCTTGCGTCGCCATCTCAAAACCATGCACTAGATGTCAATGCATCGTTTCAGAAAATATTGAGTAGTTGTTTGGATTTATTTTTTGCTACGAGATAAGCATCCTTTAGGTTAAAACATTGACAGCTTTTGGTGAAGCAAATAGAGCGTTTTGTAAAAATGTCACGACAAATGAATACTTTTTAAAACATATGTTCCCTGGTAAACATTTGGCGATAGCATTAATAGCAGACTTTAATGAATCCATAAATTTCCAGTGTGCCCTTTAACTGCTATATTCCACTGTATCACGCGAAGAACGTTCGAAAAATACAAAGCTGAATTTGCACAGAAAATGCTAATAAGGTTATTGAACCTTGTTGCGTGGGTAAATCAGTAAAGCAAGCATTTTTAATCAACGTTGAAAGTAAAAGTGATGAGAAAAGGGTTAAAGCAAAAAGGAAACTGTGTTAATCAGGGAGCGGGATGCTAGCAATTAAAATCTTAGTTAACCACATGCTCCAGCTCTTTACATCGGTCGGTTTTTGACCGCTGTATATAGGTTTCCTCCAGGTAGCGCAGGGTACGGATTGTAAATGCCCGGAAAAGTATTCAGAAAGCAGATTTGGGGCCCAATGAATGACCCCATATCTAGCAAGTGTTCAGTAATGAATGAACGAGTAGTTCTGCTTTTCTGCATCAATATTCAAACAGGCAAGTGCTCTCTGGCTCTGGCTGAAAATTGCCCTTGCGTTCTCCTGCATTTACTTGCATCCTCAAGTGCATTTTTATTCGTAAACACAATGTGAAATGGCCTGTACTGTCAAGGAAACGTTTGCAAATGTAATGTTTAAGACTTTGTCTTCTGTGGGTGTTGAAGGGCGTCCGCTAGGATTTCTCCTGCTCTTTCCAATTATAGCAAATGTGCCCTCATGTTTCACACAGCCATCAGATTAGCCTTAATGCAATTTATACCGAGATGAAAAATATTCAGCCTGGTTGCGTTCACCTTTTGCGGCGGGGGGTTATTGGAAAGCTTTTGATTACCTCACGGATCGTGAAATTGGCCAGGCCCTAATACAAGCTTGTTTTGATAAAACGGAAACCTATACATTGATAACTTCGCATATCGTGGTCACAAGGTACAACCACGAAATTTAACCGAGAGCCACAACTTATCAAGGCATGCCTATCGAGAAGTACTCGGCATATCCCCATAACTACGCACTTAGTATAATTTGCAGGCATCGTCAATCTGTCAGAAACGAGCATTTTTGGCAAAATCGTAAACCGCCTTACCTAATCTGTTATGTAGGGATATTGTGTAACTCGATTGCATTGCAATTTAACGTAGATTGTAATTTACGATTGGGCTTTGTGCTTGGACATGAGAATTAAACTTTAAAAGCTTTCAGGCAATCCATCGGTAAAACACTGTCTACCGGACATAGGTCTATTGTTGTAACAACGCAATAGCCACGTAAGCCAGTAGAACTGCAAGGTAGGAATTGTTGTATCGTCGAAAGTTAAGAAGGGCAAAGAAGTTTAAATTACCCTCCTTGGAATGACAGTCTATTATACTGTACCCCTGTTCAAACTGAATTACTGCGAAGTATCGAGAACAGCCATATTTGCCGAAGTAACAGAAAATGTCATACACTATGCAATAACGTAAATTTGCCTGAATTCAGAAGTTGCATCACACTCGTCTAACATACTCACCTTTTCAAAAAAGTGCTATCAATGTAAACTACGTTTAATGTTGTGGTTACATTTTTAAGAGGAAAAAGAATGTCTTGCAGGAACTGGTGAAAAAAAGAATCCGCTTAACAGTGAATGTTGCTGATGCTAAGTCGACATGTTTATTGGCTCAGAACTTGCGAAATTTCTTAAGTCATGCTCTTTTGTTCGCCTTGTACGCAATTTAAGTAAAAACCTTAAAAATAACTTACTAATTGATAATTTAGAGATCTTCCCCTAAAAATAGGCCTCAATAATCGTTTATTGTCTATTTTCCTATCGTTTTATTTATCAGGTCGGCTAGTTTCTTATGTTTAAGAGCTTCAAGCACAAGATAATATTTTCTTTCTGGGCGCTCATCTTCTTCACGTCAAGACGGCTAAAGCAGTGTTTGTTTATTAAACGTCTTGGTAGGTGACCCGCCGGTTTAGGGAGTCGATGCATAGGATCGGTCAGACAAATTCCAAGATTACACATCGAATATGCTACTGATAGGCACATATA